CCATTGGGTGACTAAAGTGAAATATGGGCTGATTTACTGAGAGACCACGGTATTTCAGGAGACATCAAGATGTCAAGTTCAAATATAAGGGGTGGGGCAGAATGGAAGATTTTGAGCTATGTATTAAACTCTGTGAGAAAGGGAAAGAGTGACTAGGGAACTGGTAGCTTCTAAAAACAAGGATCTTGATGGGTGACACAGATAGATGGAGTGAACTTCAATAGGGGAGATGTTACTCAATGACAGAAGGCCTGGAAGTAGCAATGAGTAGCCAGGAGTCTACTGGCTCCAGTTCCTGGACAAGTGGGTAGAGGATATGAGAAAAGCAACACCCTGTACTGAAGGGGGTGGCCAAAGATACAGTGCCTCTGGAAGGGAACCAAGTTTCCATGTGTGTAAGAAAAAGGAAAGAATGAAGAGGAATAAATTTAGGATGAAAGGAAGTTTTACCATAGAGGGGGAAGGATCCAAAGTACACAATTTCAGGGACAGATTGAAAAGGATAGAAACAAGGGAAGGAAGAGGTCTGAGCTAGATAGAGATAAGAGAGAAGGGAACATCAAATGGAGGGAGGTTTTGCTTGGGCAAATAATGACTGAATCAGGGATGGAAGAGTTGGGAATTTGTTAGTAATAGGATTAGGAAAGTACCAGTTGACTTCCCACCCCTACATCCTATAATGATGAAGGACAACATCTATTCTGGGGAGCAGGGAAATTAGGGTAGGTATGTTGGATACCTGGTGGTTGGACTCCTCTCCTCCCCACCCGTCCTTGCAATCACATTTAATTCCAATTCCTTTACTTCATCCTAAAATGTACACCCAGGAGATACCCTATACATAGAGTGTGTACTTGGCTCCCATTCAGGCCTGGTGTCCTCACGGTGATTTTGGAGTCCCAACAGTAAAGGATTTTGTATCTGAGGCCCCTTGATGGAGTCTGACAGTGAAAAGTGAATTCGATATTTACAGAAGCCTGGGGCATTTTTTTTTTAGTGACTCAGGACAGAGTTAGTACTACTTGCCGTAACATGGTAATAGCTTTTGTGTCAAGGAGGCTTCCAGTTTTCGAGAGAGGCTGGGCCCCTGGGTCCAGTGATGGCAAAGGATTGAGCAGTTTTGAGGGCCAGGCCTTAGTGTCTGCTTTAGACCCCACGTTCCTGGGCTCTGTGTGTTGAGGAGAGCTAAGGTTTTTTATGTTCTTAGATAGTAATGGCAGGTGGTACTTGATGACCCAGGGCCTAGTAGATTCTACCATCATAGGACCAAGAAGCTACCTTAAAGAGTGTTCCTCAGGGTTTACACAGACAGGAAACAGAGGGATCTCATACCTACACTCTGCTAGAGCTCTAGTCCCTGAATTTTACCCCCTCCTCCTAACAGTCCCTGTTGGGATTCCTGGTCCAGTTGGAACTCTGAGCACATATTTCTCTGAAAAAAACTAAGGGTCCTTGAGGACAAGAACTGTCATTTTTTATTTTAGTATACTTAGCACTTAGCAGAGAGTCTTGCATGTAATGGGCAACTGATGAATACTTGTTGAATTGTGCTATATATGGTGGTTTTTATGGTGGGTTCTAATGGCATACTGTCATATATATTATGGATTAAATTGGCTTTTGTGGGCTGGCCTGGAAATAGAATTACTGTTTACAACATTGTATACCAAAAAGATACATTTTGGGTTTCAAACACCTGATTTACATAATTTTGCAACCAATTCATTAGTTGGGAACTACTTGAATTTGGGAATTGTTTAATTAGTGAAATGGCAAAGTAAGTATGTGGACACATATTAATTTTTTAAAGCTTGTAGAAGGAAAAAGAGAACTTTAGTCCATTTGTTCCAACTAGGTGATAGAGACATTTTGCTTCCCCAAAAAGAAGCCTACATATGTCTCTTTCTATTCGAGAAATAGATCAGTCTTTTCCTGAAACATGTTTGCCCGATTTGCACTTATGATTTTCATGTTCCTCAAGGAATAGGTTATTTTCTTCAAATATTTTATTCTTCAGTCTTGAGCATGTGTTGTAATTTATGCCCTAATTCTTTTGTATCCATGGGGAAAGTAAAACGAATGAAAAAAACTTTCTCTATTTTATGAGGGGGGGTGTTTGTGTTTAAATGGAATAAAACTTTTTCAGTCCTTTCTGAGTTCCTTCCATCCTAATTGAACTTCACCATTCTCATCTCTTCATTCTTCATCACATCTGGGAGGTTTGCACAATTCGAACGCTGGCCAGAGCATGAGGATCCACAGGTTACCCTCCTTGTTAGCTGGAACTGCTGTCCTAGCCAGCCTGTATAGTATCAATCCATGCTCCAGCGATTCCCACTCCCACACAGTCTGAGCCTTCTAAAGAACCTCCCAGGTTTTCTACTTCATTTCACGCCTAAACAAGAGGGTCAAACCAGTGTTCATCTACTTTAAGCCCTCCAGTGATGATACCTAATGAGGTAGTCCACTTCTCTTTGTAGTAGCTCTAATAGTTAAGAATTTTTACTTTATATTAGCTCTAAATTTGCCTCTCTGCCACCCCTTCTTGTGCCTTGGATGTCCTCTATGCCTGCAGTGCTCTGCTTTCTCACCTTCCCCTCTGACTTCCTTTAGAACTCAATTCAAATCCCACCTTCCGAAGGAGACCTAGTCTGCCTCTCTTTTCCTCCCTTACTTCCCCTTTTCCCTTGCTCCCAGCTGCTAATGCCTTTTATATATATATTTTGTTGTTGTTTAGTCATTTCAGCAAAGTGGATAGAGTGCCAGACTTGGAGTCAGGAAGAGGTATCTTCTTGAGTTCGAATCTAGTCTCAAACACTTCCTAGCTATGTGACCCTGGACAAATCATCTAAACCTGTTTACCTTGGTTTCTTCATCTATAAAATGAGTTGGAGAAGGAAATGGCAAACCACTGTAGCATCTTTGCCAAGAAAACCCCAAATGAGGTCACAAAGAATCAGACATGACTAAATCAACTAAATAACAACAAATGAGTTACATTGACACTAGGGGCTGTGTAACAGTGGATAGAGTGATGGACTTGGAATCAGGGCAGTCTAAATCTTTGGGTCTCATTTCAGACACTTGATATCTTTGTGACACTGGACAAATCACTTAACCTATCTCTAAGTCAGTTTTGTCATCTGTAAAATGGGGATAATAACATTTACTTCACAAGATTGTGGCGGGGTCAAATGAGATAATGCCTGAAAGGCTATTAGCAAACCTTAAGGCACTATGTCAATGTTAACTATTAATATTGTTACTCTGATTCAAAGTACTGTTATGCCCTCTGAAAGATCTAGAGTAATAAGTTGTGAGTGAAAGGAATGACTGATATAAACATTTTTCAATTCTATTCAGTATAGCAAGTAAATTACACTAACATTTTAAGGGGAAATTATTATAACCTTTTGATTACAATGATAAATTGTGGCCCCTACCTTTGATCAGGTTGGGAACTTTTGGAGAAATGGGAAAAGAATCGGCAGAATAAGATAGTGGATAGCACTAAAACCAGGGTACATACCTTACAAAATGACAACATCATAATTTCCTCCAAGTTGGCTGGAAATTTCTCCATATAAAAGAAAGTCTTACATATAGCCATGTGGTTTTTAAGGTACTATTTTAATGAATGTGTTTTCCTTTAACTTTCAGAAGCTGCTTATACTCTCCTCTTATACGATGAGTTACTGGAATGGTCTGATCGGCCCCTCAGGGAATTTTTAACCTACCCCATGCAAACAGAGTGGCAACGCAAGGAATACCTTCACCTCACCATCATTCAGAACTTTGACAGAGGCAAAGTAAGTGGCAGTGACCGGTCGTGTGTCTTTTGGTAATAACTAGAAAGTTTGAGAAGATAACAACACCACCTTTAAGTTCATTGAGGAGCTTTAGGAGCCATCTCAGTGTAGTAGACAGTCAGCCTCAGGGTCAAGAAGACCTGGCCGGCTTCAAGGCCCAACAATACAGGCTGTATGACTTGGGGTAGTCCGTTAACCTCAGTGTCTGAGGCAATTCTATAGGACAAATCAGTTGTAGAATAGCTACTGTTCTACTTTGGTAGAGGGATACTCTTCATTGGAGAAGTTTCCTTCAAGGAAATCACTAGTCAGATATATATTTTTTTAATGTCACTTCTTAACTTTCTTCTGCAAAATCCTCTATGTGTCCTCATTATCTGCAGCAGGGGTGGGGAACCTCTGGCCTCGAGACCGCATGTAGCCCTGGAGATCCTCAAATGCGACCCTTTGACTGAATCTAAACTTCACAGAACAAATCCCCCTTAATAAAAAGATTTGTTCTGTAAAACTTGGACTCAGTCAAAAGGCTGTGCCCAAGGACCTAGAAGGCCACATGTGGCCTCAAGGCTCCAGGTTCACTGTCCCTGATCTGGAGTATCCAATTTACTATCCTCCTGCCTTTTGAGAGTTTTGACAATCAACTATTTTCAGTTGGTTGTTTTTTAATTTTTGTTTTTAATTTCTGACCCTAGCCCAGTTTCCTCATTGTAATAATAATGATGATTAAAAACAATAATAGCTAATTTATTTTTGTATGTGTGTGGTTACTATGTGCCAAGCACTGTGCTAAGTGCTTTACTATTATCTTAGTTGATGTTCACAACAACCCTCAGAGGCAGGTGCTATTATTATCTTCATTTTACAGGTAAGGAAACTGAGTCAAACAGAGAACTAAAGTGACTTGCCTAGGGTCACACGGCTAATAATTATCTTAGGACAAATTTGAACTCACATCTTCATGACTCTAGGTCCAATACTGTATCTATTACACCACCTACCTGCTCTTAAAAATGTTCTGTAACATATGTCAATTTGTTGTAACTAGAGTTAAGTAAAATTTAAAATTATTGGAAATTCTGCAACATTACAATGTGCAATGGAAAAAGTATTGAATTTAGAGACAAAGGAGACATGGGTTTGGATCTTAGCTCCTCTACTTACTACCTTTGTAATTGTGGAAAAGTAACCCCAGTGGACCTCAGTTTCTTCATCTATAAAATGAGGTAGTTGAATTGTAGGACTTGTACAGTCCCTTTTAGTTCTAAATCTATAACCCTCTGACCACAAAACCAAGATGAAGAATCTTTGATCAACTCATTTGTCTTAATATATCTTTTCAGTTTCCTTTCATTTGGCCAGTTCATGTGGAATGAGTAAAGAGTTCAGAATTTCTTCATCATAGGACCTGGATTCAAAGTGTGTGACTTTAAGCAGCTCATTCGACCTCTCTCCTGATCTGTACAATGAGGAGATTGACCTTCATGATCTCTAAGATCCCTAAATATGTTATCCTGTGATCTATAAGTTGGCATTTACCATGAGGTTTTTATGTTTTAACTGAGCATTCAGATCCTTCAGTGACAGGTCCTTTATATGTATCTAGTTTGAGATTAGGGGAAAGCCAGAGACCTGTAATTCTACTGTATATCATAGTTCTGTCAAAAAAGTATAATGTGATATATCTCAAAATTTAAAACAAGGAAAATGCTTCTTTCCTATTCTGCCTTTTTACCATAGTAAACAGCCTTGATATCCAGTTATCTTGGCAGTGAAAGAAATCCCTCTGTGCCGTTCCACAGTCAGGTCTCTCACCTGTTGAGTTAATTGCTGGTCACAAATTCAGTTTTATCTCTGGCTGCTTGTATTAAGCCATTCCCAGGAGTTTGTGTTAGATCAAAGCATCTATGCAGTGCTGTGGCCAGCAAATAGCCAAAGTTGGTGGGTGTTGTGTTAATGCCTCAGGATCTGGGAGTACAATTTGGGTAATTGAGGAGGAAGGGGTAGCCATCGTGGTTCCATCAGGAGGGAGTAATTGCTCCTTGGTGGTCAGCAGTAATCACCCCTCAGCAACTAGGGCCTATTTCCTCTCCCCTCTCTGGCCACTATTGAATTGAAATTCTGATGAAGACTACATGGATATGCAACTGAAATGACAGCTGAAAAAATTGTTTCTGCATTCAAAACTAGTAGATGCTGCTGCTGAGACTTTAATCTGTTTTTTTCTCCTTGATCACGAAAGCTTTTTAATACTTTACAGGCATCTGGGATTTTTAACCACACATACACACACACACAGAGGAATTGTTGGGGGTGGAGGGAGGTCAATATTTTCACAGGAACATGGCAAAGATTAACAAAGAGTCTTTTTTTTTGTATGTGTGGAAGTGAGGTGTCTAAACCTGTGTGTGATTTCACTGGTGTGAGGAACACCCAGTGTAGAAACTTCCTCCATTTTTGCAGATTGACAGTTCTTTTCTAACTACAGTCTTAGGTGTTTGGGGTATTAAGAGGTTAAATGACTTGCCCATGGTCACGTAGTAAGTATGTGGCAGAGGAGGATTTGACCACAGTCTTCCTGACTTCAAGACCAGCCTTCTTTGCCCTATCTCTCCTGACTCTCATGCAGGGAATGTACTGTTAAATGTATAACAACCTGCCCTCTGGGGGGGAAAATGTGCACATGACACACATTTGAGTTTAATCCACATCATTAACATTTTCTCTGTTATTTTCTTAAATCCAGACAATCAGCAAAACTATCGAGCCCTGATTTGTAATCTTTGCCAATTTCTAAGGTGTGAATGCTCATAGTGGAAATTTAACAACTAGGTGGAGCCGATTCAAGCTGGCTCCAGTACACCCCTGCAAGGCATAATGTTCTCCAGTGATAAAAATTAATCTGTGATCTAGGCAATCTGGAATTTCCAAAGGAGTATGTTATAACTAAGAGGTGTAAGTTACATGGCATGGTAGCCAAATTGTTTTTATGTCATCTCGTTGTCCACAGTGTTGGGAGAATGGCATTATCCTGTGCCGGAAGATTGCAGAGCAGTATGAAAGCTATTATGACTACAGAAACCTGAGCAAGATGCGGGTAATGTACCTGGTCAGGTCTAATCAAGGGGTTAAGGCAGCATCTTTTTCAATTGGTTTTCTGAAGGACATTTGTGAAATTAGATTTCACTTGCAATATTGCAAATGTTGCTTAAAAATGTTTTTGGACTGTTTCCTTGTGAAATATGCACTGGAATTGAAAACAGCAAATGGAGCTACCTGATTATTTTTGTAGACCTCCAATTTGATTAGTTGGGGAGGGGAGGGTTGGGGATCATTAGTACATGATCTATTCTTGTACACTAAATCTTCAGCACTTAATCTATCCTATGGGTGAGATTATGGGCTTTTATAAAAAATGCTTTTCAGACTCTCACAAGGCAATAAATATACATATATATTTCTCTGTTACAAAAATCTGCCAAGCAGAGCATTGGAAACTGTTAAGTTAATCCAATTAATATTGAACTGGGCTCTTCTTATGGAGGAGTAAACTTTTGTTAGTTTTGTTATTGAGCTGGGATGGTGGTTCTTGACCCCAGAGAAGAACATGTTTTTCAATGTAGTACATTATGCTGGCTCTGTCAGGCCTTGGAGTTTGAGATTCAGATTTTGGGTTGTTGCTATTTGGCACCTTGTACCTGCAGCAGAAGTGAGGGTTACAATATTGAGTCATAGTGGCCTGAGGGTGCCATAGTTGCTAAGATTTTTTTTTAAACTCAAAGCATTAAACATCACTCTTGCTGCTCCGTGGAGTATCATCCACAGAGAAAAAGCTTTCACATGCAATAATAGTTTTACTATGGAAACCCTTGTGTTGCTAAAACCATAAATGGGAAACTTTATGCATTTTGTAAATGCCTCATGGTTTCAATGTTATCAAAGTTATACTTAAAGGCTTTCTGCGCACAGGGGGCTTAATATATTGGATTCTTTTATATTAGAATTGTTGCCACAAAACTATCTAGTTTAAGGAAAGCTTGCATCCTCTGGAGTGAAAAGTTGACTATCTGTAGGGCTGAAATCCACAATCATGTACACCAGACCATCAAATTGTACATCACATACAAGTGTAATTTATTATTCACAGAAATAACTGGATTCACTTGTGTTTTGAAAGATCCATTCCATGCCCTCCCCCCCCCAAAAAAAAACCTACTCCAATTTTCTGGCATTTCCCTCACTAGTGAATTCCAGGAGACTAAAAAGACATGGGAAATTGGTCTCTTGAGTTCTGAGTGAATAGGCATTGTTTGATTTAAAATGTAAAAGGTTTTCATTTTGACATTCCATATTAACCTATGTTTCATTGTGAATAATGCATTGCGTGATTGTGTTGTGAATGAATAGAAAGAATTCAATGGAACTTGCGGATACATTTCACCCAAGAACACAAAGAAGTATATGAAAACCATCTTTCTGGAAATTAAACTAAGAAGTTCAAATGTTCAGGAAACAGTAGCCTCTGTCAATTATCAGTGTTAAAAACCAGCCAAAAATGTTTAAAGGTTTTCTTTGTGCTTTTTCAGATGATGGAAGCCTCTTTATATGACAAGATCATGGACCAACAACGTCTTGAACCAGAGTTTTTTAGAGTTGGATTTTATGGGAAAAAATTTCCATTTTTCTTGAGAGTGAGTACATGGGGTTTTTAGTTTTCTTTCATATTTCCAACACCAATTCCTCCAGTTAGGAGGACTCAAGCATTTTAGAACTGCTTTGCTCTTTCTGAAAATGTTAGAAAATCCTTGGATTATCTTTTTTATCTTTTTAAGCTAGAAATCCAATAATAATCTGCAATAGCATAGATTTAGAATTACTTAAATCCATCAGAACAAGGATTAGCTCTCCTATCTAGATTTATTGCAGGTTATTATTGGATATACTGTGTTGTATAATTATAGTTGTTTCCTCTTTTTAGTCTTATGCACCTATGTTTCTAGTTAACACAGTTAATGCTGCAATTTTTATAATGGCAGTATTAGGGGTAGGAGATGGAATTAGTGGAAACATATCAAAAAGGTGTAGTAGTTCTACGTCTTGGAATGTGAACCTGGAGGAAAGAGGATTGTTTTGTGAAAGAAGAAGTCAGCACTATACCAACAATGAAATTCCTACTGGTTACTACTAATTACTATTTTCTACAAAATAAATTGTTCATAAAGTATATGTTCATAAAGAAAGTTCTAATTATATAATACTAATGAATAAGACACTGGGCTCCATTCTCTGTCTTTCTTATGTTAGTGCCAAGAAATGAATGAAAAATTGAAAGTAGAGCCACTATGTGGCATTAAATGAAATACAAGTATTTTGATACCCAAGCCCACAGTTTTAGGGAAAATAGGACCAAATAATTTTAACCTTAAATCTTTAATGCTTAAAGATGTTAGTATTAATGGTACCCCAAATTTTACTTTGTATCTGAACGTACACTTGGCAATATGAGGATGGAGAAGTAAAAGAGGAAGGGATGGAAATAGAATTCATCTTAAAAGTTTCATACTCCAAAATTCCAGTCAGGTCAAGCAAAATGTTTTGTTTAGCCAGTTCATGTACGGTGAGTTTGGTAACTCATCGACCATACATCCAAATGATTGATTGAATTTCTTTATTGAAATGCTTTCTACACCAAGATGCTTTGGCATCACTTAGTCTTTGGTTTTCATTTTACTTTAATAACAGAGCATTTCTATATTTTGAGACATAGGCAAAATCTGAGGACCAAGAAGTAAGATTAGTCCAACTCAGTACATAATTTAACTTTCAAAAAGAATGAAATTGCTGTCAAAAGAAACTACTTGTATTGAGTTCAAAAACAATAAAGTTAACATGTCAGCATTTTGAAAGTAGAGTCTTTATTAGCAAGCATGTGGGACGGTGGTCCCTATATATTGAAGGGTCTACATAACTAACACACACGCACACACACACACACACCTGAGACACTTTACAAGACAATGCCAAGACTTAAATGCTATGTACTGAATCATAAAGGGTGGTTGTATTTAAAATGGGAAGTAAAAGAAAAGAAACAATTTTCCCCGTCTCTCACCATTTTAACCTGGGATCTCTGCCCAGGACATCCTAGCTCAATATCTATGAAGTATAATGTGAACCACCCTAGGTATCTAGTAAGCACAATTAATGTCAATTAAAGAGGCAATAAGAAAGATCTGTAAGAGGTATGAGTCATTAATTTTCAAAGGCAGTTTAGCAAATTAGAAAACTGCATCAGTTAATAGAATAAATTTCATTAAATAAGTCCCTTGAAAATGCTTTATCCAGGGTATATATCAATTTCTAAATCATTTCTCTTTTTAAAAACGTTTCTTGCATACTAATGTGATTTTTTACTGAACAATAGGAAAGTGTTACCCTCTGTTGGCTAAAAATGTGAACTGCAGGACTACTCTTCAAGAATTAGTGTTTCAGATGTTCTATCCATTTGCCTTCAAAAAGAACTTCTTTCTCTTTCCTGATAAGACAATGAAAACTATAAAATATATGCAACAACTATTTTTTATTATGGAAAATAGCTTAACAAATATGACTGTCATAACAGAAGCTTTACTTTCTCTGGAGTTATTGTGACATGAAATATAACACATAAAAATGTGTGTATATATATATGTAGAGAGAGAGAATGACACATTTCTCTCTCTCTCTCCATACATATACATACACACATATATATACATATATACACACACATATATACACACATATATATACATACACATACATACATACATATTTTTATATGTATGTATTTGAGGGAAGGTCCTGATATATGACATATGATTAGGGAAGGGAAATTCCAGTGTGGAAATTTCATCAATTAATGCAGGTCAGCAACTTATCTGTAACTTACAGTCTTAGAAGTCATTTTGGGCAATGAGAATTTACATCCCATTGCCAACGTGTCTCAGAGGCATGATATCAATGGACTCTTGACTCTAAATCTGAATGGATTCTTAACTCCACAGCCAGCTTTCCACTCTGCTACATAGTGATTCCATTATACATACTGCCTCTCTCTGTACCAAGATGTAATAGAGCAAAGTCCCAATAGACTGCATTATCACACCAAATAGTAAAGTTAATTTCAGAATTATTTCCTTTTCCCTCATATCCTCATTGAGCTCATAAAGGTTTATTTCTAACTCTCTAAGATTTTACTAAATTGTTGTCTAGCATGTGCAAGAATTGCTTTAAAAAAAAGTTCAGCCATTTAATGATGATGGGTCAGTTTCATTCATACGTCTACGTACGAACCACTAATTGGATACTCTTTGGTAGTGACAATTGGAGACAGGGGAGTATGATCGTTTTTAATCGAGACTGTATCATGACTTAGGGTTATAGAACTTAGAGCTGTATTGGATCTTTGAGATTATCTCATCCAAGTCTCTCATTTTAACTGTGCATGTTCGCATCCAGATTGAATGGATTGGCTTTGCTTTCAAAGTTTCATACTCTGAGCAAATCATGCACTCCTGTAAGAAAGTCTGTAAGACTTGGTATTGTGTATACTAAACACTAAGAGGTCATTTCGGAAGCTGCAAAACAAAATACATGGCATTTAGTTTGCATATTTTAAAATTAGTCCGGCTTCTCATTTTCGGACTAGTACTACTTCATATAATCAAGCTGATGCAAAGATGTCAGTGTTCATTTTAATATTGCTATCCTCATCCATGTAATGGTACTTCAGACATCTTGATAATTTGCTTATTGTTTTATTTTTCTTGCCCTTCCCCCTCTAGAACAAAGAATTTGTTTGCCGAGGGCATGACTATGAAAGGCTGGAAGCTTTCCAGCAACGGATGCTGAATGAGTTCCCACATGCCATTGCTATGCAACATGCCAATCAGCCTGATGAGACCATCTTTCAGGCAGAAGCACAGTGTATCCACACATGCAGAAGGGTGGTGTTCTTGTTAAACGGCACTAGCCATTCACTGCCCAATTTTTTTCCAAGGTTCTTGAGTGGTTGCTCTATTTTTTGGGGGGAGAGGGGAGGTAGGGAGGAAGAGAATGTCTGCATACTATGTCTCTGTGTCTGTGTGTTTCAGTCTCTTTCTGCTCATTTAATTTCACTGGGTTCTTGGCAAACAGTTTCCAGCTGCTCTGTTTTTAAATGATGATTGGAGCTGAAAAGAAATCCTTTATATAGGAAAATCTCCTTTTAATTAAAATTATTCTCCAGCACAGCCATGCTTTTGAAAGCTATTTTAGCAGTTCCTCTTAAAGTGATTTGCTTCCATATTATATAGTGGCAACTAGCTCAATTCAGAGAAAGGATATCACTGTTTATTTGCATAATTCACTATCCCCTTTTTCTTTGGTATTCTCATTTTGAAATGGAGGAATGGGAAAAGGCAGAACAGTCTTTATTAATTGCTATTAAGAGTCTCACCTACCACTGTCTAAAGAATAGTAGATCAACTAGAGTTAGCTAGTAGTTAGAGGCAAAGTTGATTAACTCTGGTACTCTTATCTGACTCACTTAGCCTCAGCGATGAAACTATTATTCTTTAAACCGTTTGGAAGCTTTTTCTGGGTACCCACGAATACCATTTCAAAGCAAAAACCAAAAAAAAAAATAAAGGAAAGGAATAATATTTAGGGATTAAAACTTTTTTTCTTATAATGGCACAAAAGAGAATGCATTTAAATAGAGTTATATCGTGATTGATAAAAACAGGTCAATCATAAACAAAAATCAAATGATAAATTTTAAAAAATCATAAAATACTTATGCCATTGAAACACACACAAAATTTACCCGCCTAGAGCCAGCAGTAGTTGGCTTATGGCCTAACGATTTTAAAAATAATTTCTATTAATTAGGAACTCACTTATTTTCTGCTGATGTTTTAAAAAGGGGGAGGAGAATAGGAGTGGTCCAGAATTGAATGGAGCCAACATAGACCTCAGCATAGGGGAGCAATCAGTGTTTATCTGCAATTTGATTCTTGAAAACCTTTAAATCCAGATAAACTTCCTTGGCTTTTGCAATTCCAGGTTTCTTTCCTTAATCATTTGAATACAGATCTGCAGATCTATGCTGTGACTCCCATCCCTGAGAGCCAGGAGGTCCTGCAGAGAGAAGGCATCCCAGACAACATCAAAAGCTTCTATAAAGTGAATCATATTTGGAGATTTCGCTATGATAGGCCATTCCACAAAGGAACTAAAGATAAGGAGAATGAATTCAAGGTACCATCAGCTTCTTTTATGTCACATTTCCTTGACTCCATTGTAAGCTCTTTGAAGGCAGAGAATGGATCTTTTCATTCTTTTGAACTTTCTAAAGCAGTAACATAGAATATAGTAGGATCTATGTAAATAACTTTTAACTCGATAATTTAAATGAATTAAACTTTACTAGCAGACATGTAGCTAAAAGAGAAATGGACTAGAATTCAGAAGATTGGATTTCTTGTCCCATCCTTACCACTGGGCTTTGTGGTTTGGGGTAAGTAACTCTCTCTGGGCTTCAGTTTTCTTATCTGTAAAATAAGGGTCTTGGACAAGAAAATCTCTAAGGTCCCTTTTATCATTATCTATGCTTTTAACACTGAATAGATTATGGGAACTTCAAGGAACTTATTCCCAGATACAAGGTGATGAAGTTCATAGATGATGAATTTTAATGTGATGAATTTTAAATAAATTCTCTGCAGTAGAAAACAGTTTTGTAGTCTCTGGAGAGTCTGGTTAGTTTGTTTCTGTCTACTTATCTAATCATCTGGCTCTTTTTTATATAGCCCATATACTACTTTGAGTTTGGGACTTTCAGAAGTGAAGGGTAATAAGACTTGCCACCATGCCACCTGTGGAGAAAGGCAAGATTCTTTAGCAGACATAATATAATATGGCTTTCTATTTCTGAATACAAGGACATTTTGGAGACCAGATACATCACTTAAGAGAGGGAGTAGGTCCCTCTTAAAACTTAATCATTGAAATTACTTGGTTTTATGTGTAACTTCTTCCATCAGGGCTACTCTATAAAAAGAAACATAGAATTTTAGATTTGGAAAGGACCTTAGAGATTATCCAGTAGAAAACAGTTCTGGGAAATGTTTCTAGAAAACATTCTGGTGTGGCCAATATTGCAAAAATAATTAAATTCTTAGTAAATGCTCGTTGTTGATATATATTCGTTTTATCCAAACACCTGTAATTTATACCTAATTCTCGTTATAAAAACCCCATTTTTCCTATTTAGCTATCTTACCCAAAGTAGACCTTTTAGGGTAGGTATGGGAGGGAGAGGGCCATACAAGACACTCTATCAATGTAGAAAACTTCCAATGCGGACATTCTCTTCATCCAAGGCAAATCAGCAAGTTGTCACTAAGTAACTTGAGGTCTGAGTACCTAAGGCCCTGGAAGTTAAATAACTTGTTTATGGTCTTATAAGTAGTGTTTGGGGCATTTGTGTGACTCAGTGGACAGAATGCCCAGCCTGAAGTCAGAAAGACTCATTTTTGTTAGTTCAAATCTGGCCTCAGACATTTGCTAACTGTGTGACCCTGGGCAAGTCAATTAACTTTGTATCATTTCCTCATCTGTAAAATGAACTGGAGAAGGAAATGGCAAACCACTCCAGTATCTTTGCCAAGAAAATCCTAATAGAGTCATGATGAATTAGATACAATTGAAAAATGACTAAACCCAGCAAGTAGCGTTTGTTAGAGGCAGGAAGTACATCTAGGACTTCCTGACTTCAAGGCTGGTCCAAGATGCCCCCACTACCACATTGCCTTTCAAAATTTTTCATGTAACTATGAACTGTGAACACAGGGCCTCATCATCCTTCCAGCTTTTGAGCTATTAACCACACCAGTACTTTTTCAAAAATAGCAAATTCAATTAAACTTACTTTAGAATGTGGAGGGGTTGCTGTTCAGAATCTGTGTTTTGTGAATATTAGTGCATTTATATATTGCTTTAAGGTTTGCAAAATGCTTCACATGTTGTATCGCATTTGATCCTCACTGCAACCCAGGGAGCGGGTGCTATCCTCTCTATTGTATAGTTGGAAAAACTGAGGATGAGAAAATGCAAATGATTTTTCCAGGGTCACATAAGTAATAGTGTCTGAGGCAGGATTTGAACTCAGATCTTCCTGACTCCAGGTCCAGCACTCATCTGCACCTTCTGATACTTAGAGTAATTGTAGCTGGAAAACAAATCTCCTGGTGAGCAACCTTTTGGTGATGAGAGTCTCTATTCTTAGGTGTGGTTCAACCTCATATGACAAGTACAGGGGCTTTCTTTCTGGGCCTATACTTTGAGCCTTTCCAACTTGATAAATCCTACCAGTAGAGCTGGTGTTCTGCTGACATAACTGTAGAGTCCCCAGTCACTACTATATCATAGTGAGATACTGAAGTAAGTTGAAGAATTCTACTAAAAATGACAAAACATAGAATTTATCTTTCTTTTCTATCTTGGATATGAAGTGTGGTGTACTAGATAGTCGGCTTCAGAGCCAGGACGATCCGAGTTAAAGTTCTCCCTCTGACTTATTGTTTATATGACCCTGGACAAATGACTTAACCTTTCAGTGCTCTGGGTAACTCTCCAGGACTATACATTGCAGAAAATGTGCTGACCTGCATTAGTAGAGGAAATTTCTTTGTTCATAATTTTCTTATGCTAGTCAAGTTACAGGTCTAATATTTAGTCCTCTACCTTTCTCCTTGGAGGTGTGTGTGTGTGTGTGTGTGTGTGTGTGTGTGTGTGCGTGTGTGAGAGAGAGAGACAGACAGACAGACAGACATAGAGAGAGAGAGAGAGGGGCTCTTTAGTTGAGGACCCACATGGGAAAAGGAGAAAACAAAGTGGGTGTCTATAGAAGAGTTAAGGTCAAAATATGGGTTAAAAGAGGTATTGCAAGTACTTTAAGGCTCTTTGTTTCCTGTTTATTCGTGCCTTAATAATTATAAACACCACTGCAGAAGGGATTACTGAACAAGGTATTCTCATAACCAATTCTGCCATGTTACATAGTCCCACCTTCTTATTGTGATCAGTCTGCCCAACTAGAAGAGTTAATATGTCTAGGTAGCTATAGAGATAGGAGTAGGTATGTCAGTAAAGAGAAAGAGCAGACTCTTGTTTTACAACACTATGTTGCCATCTGTACCATTTCATTAGCAGCCCTACCTCTCACCTTAGGGGACCATTGCAATTGAGAATTTGGAGTATATAAGATCTATCAGAACACTCGGCAAATTCCTTTTTTTCCCTTAAAGAAAGTAAATTAACCACAGAAGAATGGCCAAAGTAGGGTCCTAATTTTACAGAGTTCCTTTCTTTTTAAGCATGCTTTCATATATGTAGAGCAACTTCTCTTACAGAAAAATATTATTTACTCATAGTCAGATAAAGTCTACTTCCTATATGGGGGAGTAGGGCCAGAATTAGGGCAAATCCATGAAGAAGGTAAGGTTTGTCTTCAAACCTGCCAGAGTCTTCATGCTCTTATTGTCTTCCTCTCCCACCAAAACTACTCATTCTGTAGTAACGTGCTTCAGCCCTTTCCTCTCCCCTCCCCCCCCATAAGACGATGGGTGGTAAGAGGAATCAGATAATGTGATAAAGCAGCATAGAATAGTAGGAAGAGCATTAGGACCATAGGTTTAAAGCTGGTAGAGACCTTTGTGGGCATCTGGTCCAATACTTTCATTTTATATTTGAGGCCAAGAGAAGTTAAAGTATTTGTCCAAAGACATACAAATAGTAAATGGCAGAGGCAGGATTCAAGACCAAACCTGGTGATTCCAAGATGATCACTCTTTTTGGCTTACTAAGTAGCTAAGATCTAGGCTTGATTATTCCAGTAAGTAGCTGAGTGTGACATCACCATTTAATTGGTTCAAGCCTGAGTTATTTCATCTGTCACATGAGGTTGGACAGGATGGTCTTTAATGTCAATTCTAGCTCAATGATTCAATTATTTTGGTGTATTTACTAGTTTATCTTTCACAAAAGTTATGTTTTTATTTGTTGCTATGACACAGATGTGACCTTAAGTTGCTGAAGACTACTGGCATGTTCTTTCAAGCTCAAAATGGTTTTGAGTAGGGACCTGGTGGCAGACTGTATGTCTGTCATTCAAGGACCAGCCTAGCTTAGTCTATAGAAGTTCATCACCAAATTGGCCAAAAGATAGTGGATTGTTTTTAGCAATAGCTATCTATCTGGCATAGATAGAGGGGCTCACGATCTGTGTTGCTGGAGAAAACTTACCTGAATTAAAGTCATAGATGAATGAAATATCGAAGTTAGCTATCTAATACCTAAGCCTTATTAAAATGGTTAATCCTGTTTGAGATAAAACAGGGAAGAAAACATGAAATCTGTTTTAACTATTATAGTCGACCTGGGGAGATTGAACGCCCACAAAGGAAGAAAAAGGTATTAGAATACATATAAAAGAAAGATGAATACGAACATAATGATAATGCCTTGCACATTGTAAGTGCAGGAGAGAGAAGTTACCAAGATATCAACACGTTATAAAGGCATACCAGGGTAACTGGACTGACAAAAGCTGGCAAGAATAAACAAAGTATGAGAAAACTGAAGAGTAAACATTAATCTTAGCTCAATAGCTTGCTTTAATTTATTTATCTCTGCATTTTCTAGAGTCTCTGGGTGGAGAGAACTTCACTGATTTTGGTACAGAGTTTGCCTGGAATTTCTCGCTGGTTTGAGGTGGAAAAGCGTGAAGTGGTAAGGATAAAAGTTTACAGCTAAGCAGTTCTTCTTCATAATTTTTTACTTGAAGCCATGGTATCCATTGTCTGAGTTTTTGTTTGAGTCTGTCCTCCATGTGAACATTGCAATCATGAGTTAATGAATGTTTATGATAGTAAGCACTATTCCCAAATAGGTACCATGTTCAAAAATAACAATGCTCAGTGTTCAGCCTCTTATACCCACGGGAAGCTTTGGGGAATGTTTAGCCCCATAGATGCACTAGCATATTAGTGCTATATGACCTGTCTTGCTGAATGCCTTGAGGCACGCATAGTGGCATATCGTTCGTCTAGACAGATCCAGGCACAGAAAGAAAGCCAAATGCAGATAGATGGGAGTCATCTGGAAATCTTGGCTAAAGAACCAAACACAATCCTAATCAATGCCACTCCTGCCAATTTCCAGATCTGAGAAATAGAGGTAGCAGCATGAGCCAACCCAAATGTCTCGCTGAGCCTGATGGTTATACCTATGCTGCCATCATCTACCAGTTTTAGTTTCCACTCACTTGGACCTTGCCATAGCCCTGGGGTCTTACAGCACCTGATCTCCCTGCTTCGTAAGTTTTGTTTCATCTTGTAGAAATGAGGCCAGCTTTCCCAATGATCCCCACCTGCTTTCATACAGCATGAAATGTGCTAATAATGAACTCGTTTTCAGCTACTTTCTTGTAACCTTTCCAAAGGATACTTACCTTGCCAACAAAGAAGCAGGTGCAGTTGATCTCCAAAGTCATCTGCCAAGAATCCCTTGTCCTACCTGAAATATTCAGTGAACAGTGAAACCATCCCTAACATGACATGTTCAGTTAAACTAATAATTGAATGACATCTTCATTTTGCAATACCTAAAAACAAAATAAAACAAAACTCAAATACATTCAGCCCCCAAGCAAATTGAATATAAATAGGAAATTACAACAAGAAAATTCCATATTTTGTAGCTTGAGTAGATGCTATTGAAATGCTCATTTTATCCCTTATTATGTTCATCATTTAGTTGAAATGTTGGGGCTGGATGCTAGGTGCATGGCATGGAGAGTTTTGTCCCACTTGCTAGGTTTAGAAATCCCCAGCAATAGCTTAGGTCTATATTGCTGTATTAGGTCTATAACAAAAAGAAAAAAAATCTAGGGAAAAGTAGCATGTACATAAAAACAAAGAGACAATATGGAAAGCAGCATTTGAGATGTCACTCCTATTTCCTTAAAAACTGATTCACATTTAGTCATCCAGGTTGTGACCCAAAGCATGCCAACTTTAGACCATATAGGGAATGTTTTGTATGAGGCAACTCCATAATAACTGATTAAATTCTAAGTTACCATGGTTATAAATTATTTCTCTTTCCCCAGGGTTGGTCTTAGAGGTTGTAAGAAATCTTTAACAAAACCAACCTTACCTTCTTAACTGAAAGAAGATAAACCTGGATACCTTTTGGCAGCCTTTCTCTTCAAGGAGAATGCCTTTTGTTTTGTATTCAATTAACTCAGCCAATAATTAGTCAAGGATAACAATATTCATATATTATATGTATTTTCCAAAACTTTTTTTAAACAATCATTCCCACCCCACCCCTTACCAGATCATTAAAAAAAAAATCATTGTACACCATTGATCATAAAAAAGGCTGCCCTTCCATAGGAAGACCCTGGGGTCTAAGTCACTTTTTTTTCCCATAACTCATCTTTTCCATAATGTACTAGCTTGTGGTCTCAGTTATAGTCTTATGCAAACACCCTGTTTCTCTTAGTAGACTGTACTCCATGAAAGCAGTAACTATGCCTGATTTGTCATTGTGCCATAGTCTCTAGCACCATGCTTTTGCACATAGTAGTTGAGTGGTCAATATTTTTTTTTTGATGATCATCATAAAAATCACAGAGTTGTGGCATATTTCTCAAATAATTTGTCATGTATTAAAGAAAATAAAAATAAGTTTTAAGGAAGATATTCAGTTTTGCATAAAAAGTGGAATAATTTGCTTTGGAAAATTAAATTGAATATAGTCAATTCTTGATAACTCATTCCAGTGGATAATTGAGAATTGCTGATAATCCCAACTTCAATTCAATCAGTGAATGAGTGGAGTATGGTAGAATTCATGAAACCCAAAGGGTTATGGGTAATACAAACTGGATATTCAAGCCTTAAAGTTATTTTGTGTACTTTTGTGACTAATTGCTTCTTAGGTGGAAATGAGTCCTCTGGAAAATGCAATTGAAGTGTTGGAAAATAAGAACCAGCAGCTGAAGACTCTGATTAGCCAGTGTCAAACTCGGCAGATGCAAAATATTAACCCGCTCACAATGTGTCTGAATGGTGTCATAGATGCAGCAGTTAATGGTGGAGTTTCCAGGTACCAAGAGGTGAGGATTTTATATAATAGCAACTAGCATTTATATGGTGCTTTAAGGTTTACAAAATGCTTTACATGGTATCTCTTTTGATCATCACAACTCTGTGAAGCGATGTTATTATCTCTGTTTTATAGCTGAAGAAATCGAGGCTTAAGTAACTTTTGCCCATGGTTAAGTTTAGTGAGGTTTAAGTTGACATGGTAGACCATAGTATACAACTGGTGTCTGGGGCAGGATTTGAAAACTCAGGTCTGAAATACCAAAAATTTACCAGCCACAAAAAATTACTTAGCCAGCCTGTGTACATACCACAATGAATAAAGATGGAATGAATGAATGAAGTTTGGTCAATTAAAACCATCACTTTGTGCAAACACGGTTAGTGACTATTGGCAGGACAGCATTTTTTATTCTGAAGCCACCAGCTGTCATCTTATCAATCCTCTAAACCCCAAACAGAATGATAGACAGATGATTCCATACCACCAGTCACCATTAATATGAAGAAAGTTCAAGAATATAGTTAAGAATATAAATAATTTTAGTTAAAACACACTTAAAATTCTGACCTCTTCTTAAGATTCATCTCTTTCATGATTACTGACTTGGCATATCCATGGCAATACTTTTACAGCTAATTTTGATCTCCAGGGATAAGTCCAACTACCTCCTTATCAAACAGTTTATTTGATTTTATTTTGATTTTATAATATTCACTGAAGACACAGAGGTGATTCTAGGTTCTCAAAGACCATGTATGGTGGGAATAAATAAGCAGTGGCAGGTCCTACTAAGCTAAAAATACTAGCAGATTGAACTGTCAGACAAGCACCCGCCTAGTTAGCTATGTTCAGATAGACTCATCATAAGGTTAGCTTCAGGATGATGAACTTTTGATCACAGCAACTCTCATAGACTGTCAGGTCATAAGGGGGTTGCAATATGCATTCTTTGTTTTGTTTTGTTTTGTTTTTTTTGTGAGGCAGTAGGGGTTGCCCAGGGTCACATAACTAGTAAGTTGTCAAGGGTCTGAGGCTGGATTTGAACTCAGGTCCTCCTGACTCCACAGCAGGTGCTCTATCCACTGCACCACCTCGCTGCCCCTGCAATATGCATTTTTAAGAAATAAGTCAATTAACAATTATTTATCAAGCATTCACTATGTGCCACCCATTGTGCTAAATTTATGGGATACAGCCTCTGCCCTCAAAGGTCTAATATTCTAATGGAGGAGAAAAGTAAACACACAATACATAGAGAGCAAATGGAGAAAATAGTCTCAGTGACAGATGATGGATCCTTGGAGTATTGAGGAAGTGTTCACAAGGTCATAGGATGAGAGCTGGAAGGGACCTTAGAGTACATTTAGTCTAAACTTCCCTACAACTAAGGAAACTGGGGCAGAGTAGTTAACTGACTTGTCCAAGGTCTACTCAGAAGTAGGATTTGAACCCAGGTTCTCTGACTTCATATCTATTGATCTTTTTTCTGAACGTGTACATGAGGCTTGCCTTCACCTCTAATTAGACTGTAGGTTCCTCAGAGGCAAAGATCACAATTTTTTAAAAATTGCATTTGTATGTCTCCCACGGGGCATATGCAATGTGACTGACAAGGTTTATGTTTTTGCAGGCATTCTTTGTGAAAGAATACATTTTAAACCACCCAGAAGATGGGGAGAAAATCGCACGCTTGAGAGAGCTGATGCTTGAGCAGGTAAAAAGAAAATTGATGATGTGATTACTTATCCATCTTGCCAGCAATTGATATGTGACAGCTCTTTTTAAATAGCCCAGGATCTGTTTAGTTGCCTAGATATATATCATAGACAACCTCCGTGGAAGTTCTACCCAAATCTTTCGTCATGGTTTGAAGTATAGCTTAAAGGCTATAATCACAGAATGGAAGCTTTGGTAGGTCTTACCAAGCTGGACAGGTTTTGGGTACAGGTTGGTAATCCTGCATCTTTACTATTGTAGGACAAGCCTAGCCCAGTTCAGTAAGGTCTGCCATCAGAATTTTAGCCATGAGGAGATAGGATTTCTCCAGGCACGAGTAACTCATGAAATAATCTATTAAGACATAGAAAGATTGCCATCTGCCTCAGGAGAGAGTGTACTCACAGTTTTGTTCATGCATCTCAGAAGTAGTAAAATATGTTGTTGTTGAGTCTTTTTGGTGATGTCCTACTCTTTGTGACCCCATTTGGGGTTTTCTTGGCAAAGATACTGAAGTAGTTTGCCATTTCCTTCTCCAGAGGCAAACAGGGTTAAATGACTTCAGGGTTAAATGGGATCAATAACTAGTTAAGTGTGTGAGACCAGATTTGAACTCACCAAGAGAAGTCTTCCTGACTCCAGGACCAGCACTATCCACTGCACCACCTAGCCGCATATTTAAGTTGCCAGTTCTTACCTGTTATTTGTGTATCACTCTCTCTCCACTTCCTCTCTCCTCTTCAAGGTAAAAGTAAATTCATTGGTGCCTAGGCTGAGTAAACTCAATTTCCACATCTATGAAAGGAAGAGGTTAAACCACAATGGTCTCTTAGGCCCTCTTCTGATCTTAGAGCTATTATCCCAATGTAGGCAGATTCTCATAAGCACTTGTGTTCTTTGAATGCTTTGCTGTAGAAATCATGTCATCCTTCCAATGAAGCAGAGTTCTGAACATATTGGCCATGTGTTCTGGGCAATTCTATTAACCTAAATGTCCCTGACAGGTCTCTAAGGCTATAAGATTCAGAGAAGGTACAGGTTTGCTTTGGTAGAGGAAGTTTCCTTATCAGAAATTCCCTATACTAGAGATTCTCAGTGTTCCAGAGATCCATGTGTGTCCCAGAGATGCTTTCAAGGGTTTGAGAGGTCAAAGCTATTTGCATAATAATACTAAGATGTTTTAGTTTCTAATATGGTAAATGTCAGTAGGTATAACCCACATAAACAAAAGATCTTTGGAGGGTCCTCAGCAGTTTTTAAGTGTTGTAAGAGGGGCCCAAGACCACAAAGTTTGAGAACTACTGTCCCATGCAAATAAAATAACAATTACAATCTCAGTCCTACCTAGACACACACATGGATTTTCAAACTAAGCAAGAGGATTAGTCACTTATATACATTTTCTTCATTTTTCTCCTCTTAACAACTCTGAGAGGGATGGAATAGAGAATTGTGGAAAAGAGACTAATGAGAAAAGGAAAATGTTAGGTATCACATGGTTACAGGGAGTGAAGAGCTGAGAACAGTCAGCCTCATCTTTCCTGTGGTGAGGCAGGGCTCCTACCAAATGCCCTCCCAGCTATTCCGGCCCACTCTTCCTGCATTCCCCAAGAAAGAAACGTCCTTTCCCCATTGACAAAGCGGTATGGGTTCAAGGTGGGTTGAGGTGATAACTCAAAACTATGTTTCACTAATGAATGTTTTCTTTTATGTTATTATTCTAAAGGCACAGATTCTGGAATTTGGTTTAGCCGTGCATGAGAAGTTTGTACCTCAAGATATGAGGCCTCTGCATAAAAAGCTAGTTGATCAGTTCTTTGTGATGAAGTCAAGCTTGGGCATACAGGTATGTACACAAAAGGCATCACACAAATTGACCGTGGAGGGGCAATCAGTCTGATGTGATTTGTTTTTTGGGGTTGAGGGGAGGATTAAACAACCAATAGTGACATCTTTTGGTCATTCTGTTATACTACACTGTTTGCACAGAGAAAATCTCAACTGTTAAATCTTCTCACTATGTTCACATTATTACAGAAAAAAGATGTGGGGTGCACTTGATCATAATAAAGTACACTTACCTTTATATACCTATATATTATGAGAATTTTTTTATTTAAATGGAATTTAAGTGGAATTCACAGGTAATGTGTAGAAATGCTTTCTCACAAGTTACTTTGTTCATTTGATTACAGTTCTAAAATAGCATTTCTTTTCCCTAATATATTCTTAGGATTTCTCTGCATGTATTCAAGCCAGTCCTGTCCATTTCCCTAATGGAAGTCCTCGGGTCTGTAGAAACTCAGCACCTGCTTCTATGAGTCCAGATGGTGCAAGAGTAATTCCTAGGCGTAGGTATGTCAGAGACTGAATTATTTTGTATTTCAAGTCATTTGGCATTTTCACAAGATGATCTGGAACAATTCTCTCATTCTTTATGGCATAATTTGTCAAACACACTCTTTCTTAATGAAATAATTAACCTACAAGGCAGCTGCAGACATCTGCTGCTGGTAAAATAGCAACAGCGTGAGGAATAAATAAACTCAAACGTTTGACTTTGTTGAGATAAATGTGGGATGACAAAATGTGATGTATACTTTTTTCTTTCTGTTTTATGCCATACCAGCATGTGATAAAGTGCAATTCCAAGACTGAGTTAACAACCATTTTTTCCCCCCTGTAACAGCCCATTAAGTTACCCAGCTGTCAACCGATACTCTTCCTCTTCACTGTCCTCACAAGCCTCTGCCGAAGTAAGCAATATCACAGGGCAATCAGAAAGCTCTGATGAAGTCTTTAACATGCAGGTAATATCAGTTATTTATTTGGTTGTATTTATATGTTCATTCCTCCCCTTCACCTCTTCACCCTCCTCCTGCCCACAATCATAGAACTTCCTAATCATTTTGTTGTATCAGAAGTGTGAACATCAGTGTAAACAATTACCTTAAAGCAAACCTCTAATAATAATGGTGATGATAATTATAATAATAACTGATGATTCTACAACATTTTAGAGTTTGCAGAAGACTTTACGTATATTGTAAGGCCTTATAACAGTATTGTTCTCTTTGGGATGATGGAAAGTATTTCTTCCATAATTGCCCCTATCTGCTCTGAGAAAGCATGTCTGTCCCTACAGTGAGGAAAACCTAATAAAGCTATGCCCTGGTGAGCTTGGAAACCTATGTATCATTTTGTTCTTTGGTGATATCCACACTAGATATCTCAAAATGAACTGGAAAGATGGATATTCTTAATATTTTAAGTGGTCTTTTTTCTTTCACATAACAGGATTGGGGGTTTTGTGGGGTTTTTACATAGTGTAGCCTTGTCAGTTATTTATGGAATCAAACTTCATCAGTGTTGACTGTTACCCTCCTATATCTACGTGAATGTGGGGAATGATAAAAAGATGTATCTACTGCAAAATCAGCTGCGTGAAGCATGACATCTGTCACTTTTGATTACCATCTGACTGTGTGGTATAGTGGGAAACTGAATGGAATCAAAGATTCTGGGTTCAAATCCTGGTTTTGCCATGTACTACCTGTGTGACTTTGGTCAGGTTAATTAGCCTCTCTAGACCTCAGTTTCCTCTCTGTAAGATTAGAATGTTGCTTCCAACTCTAAACTAATGAATAATCTTAAGAAATCCACCAAAATGCAGTTTGTAGTAGTTCAAAAAGAGCCTGGTCTAAAGTTGAATTCTGTACAATATATGGGAAAAAAAAAACTTTATCAGTCAAATTAACAGTGGCAAAATTAGCAAGAGAATAAAACCATTTTGTTCTCTTAAGCAGTTGAAACAAGCCAGAAGCACTCATGTACAATCCCCAAAATCAATTCAGTCCAAAAACACATAAGTATCTGCCGTGTGCAGAGCACTGTTCTAGGAGACAAACAAAGTTTTGATAAAACAAACTCTAGCCAAGTAAGTAAGAATATCATTTCAGACATAATATTTAAAACACATTCTTATCTATTTGTAAAAGCAGATTCTGTAAGGATCCCTATCAGATAAAACTTTGAGCTATGGTACATACTTGACAGTAATGAAACTTCATTTCTTTTAAAGTATTGAATAATTCATATTCCTAATTCAAACTCCTTCCTTCATTAATTCTGAATTAACATCTTACTATATTACAAAGGGGTCTTTTCGTTTAAGATAACATGCTTAAAGAAAAAAATCGGTAGCTGTGTATAGCCTTTATAAAGCATTTCTGTATTTTTTAAAGCCTGAGAGCATAGTTTGATAACAACTTCCCATGTATTTCCAGCCAAGTCCATCTACCTCAAGCTTGAGTTCTACTCATTCTGCTTCACCTAACGTGACCAGCTCAGCCCCATCCAGTGCCAGAGGTCAGTGCCAGAGTAGGAGGTGGAAATGACATTGCCCAGATATCCCTTCATGCCCTAGTAAACTCCTCCTTCAGGACCCTTCACTCTGCAAGCTGCAGAGAAAATGTGGGTCGTACTTCGGAGAGAGTAGGGAATTCAAGAAGGGGCTTCCCCTCTGAATGCATCCTAATATCCCCGTCCCCACCAGACTGACCATCTCGCCTTCTTTTTTTCCTTCTAGCCTCCCCTCTCCTGTCTGACAAACACAAACATTCCAGAGAAAACTCTTGCTTGTCTCCTAGAGAGAGACCATGCAGTGCCATCTATCCTACTCCCACGGAGCCTTCACAGGTAGCACTCATGGGAATGGGAGGCTTAGTTAACCAGGTGCAAGGGAAAAGGTAATAATCTAATGTTGGACTGCTTAAAACGACTGGTATTTCTCCAGAGAAGTTGACTTGAGCTTCTCTAAGGCAATGTCACAGGCAAAACAGGGTTGGAACAAAATGCCAAATTTGATTGCATAATGTGCAGATTGCATTCTCTCTGCCCAAGGCCTGAGAGTTCCTTTTTGGTCATATTAACAATCAAAATACATATATATTGTCTGGCCAAAAGAACGTGGAGGGAAATAAAGGTTCTGACCTTGATTTTACCCTTCTTTGTCACAGCCTCCCAACTTCATGCAGCTTTTAATGTTTTTTAGAATGTGGTATGTGTGTTAAACATTGTTCAGGATGCCTTTCGTGAATTAGAATACATCCAGAGGAGGATGACGAAGATGATGAAAGACCTAGATACCATTGCATAGGAGTATTGATTGTAGACACTGGATTTACTGGGGGATATGATAATTGTTTTCATTTGAAAGATTGCCATTGCAAGGAAGGTATTTATTTTGTTCTGTTTAGCCTCGGAGGTCAGAACAGGGATCAGTGGGGAAAGCTGCAGAAAGGGTGCTTTCACTTTAGTGCTAGAAAAAAGACACTAAGAATTAGAACCATCCACGAATGTTAGAACATGCCACCTCAGCAGGTAATGGGTTTTCCCCTTCACTGGAGGCCTTCAGGCAGAGATTGGATGACCTGGTGTCTGGGAATCCTTTAACGAGATTCTCATTCAGCTATCTGTGAGCTTAGATGGCCTAGAGTTCTTTTTGAGCTCTGAGATTCTCTGATGTTTAGGCTCCTTTGGAAACCGACTACGTAGCAATACCTTTAATCTGCCTAAACCCAATGGGACAGGGTTATATTTGGCACCCTCTTCGTGACGTCCAGGAACAATAGAGCTGAATAAAGACCACCATCACAACTTGGGGAAAAATATTTAAGAACCCTCCCTCTCCTTTTTTTGTTCAATAAGCATTTATGAAGTGGCTACTTTGTGCCAACTACTGTCTACAAACTGTACATATACTGTATACAGGGATACAAAGACAAAATGAAACAGTTCTTGGCTTCAAGGAGCTTACACACTTTGGGAGGCAGGGGGAGTGGGAAGAGGGAGATATCTTTTCTGTCTCCTTTTCTACCCTGTATATGAAGAAATTTCATTGAGACTTGGGAATCTGAAGATAGTTTAAGAGTTGTAACATGGTGTAAAGTTGAAGATCCACAACATCCTTTAGTCATACAAATTATGTGGAGGTGAATTTAATCTCTGAACATATAGCAGGTAAAATCTGAGTAAATTCTAAATCATTTCTGTCTTCTAACAAAAGTGGAGGGGTTTATTTTTTCCATGCATTCTTTTCTTCTCCATATGATTTTCCCAGAGAACAGGAGCTATATCTTAAAACTGAAAAGAAAGAGATATTTGACTTCATTGGTTCATTCATGCTGATTATGTGATCTTCTTGTAATCCCAAGACACCTCATCTGTAATACTCTGGTATCTCTCAAAAATTATGTCTGAGTGCATTTGGCTGAACTAGCTAATCATTTTTATTTCCCTTTGTCATTTAATGTTGCAAGGGAATTTCAATGTTGTTCCATCTGCTCAAGGAAAATGCTGCCAGCATAAAGGACTCAGGAAGTCATGGGTACTTGGAATCTCTTGAGTTCCTTCCCTTGTGAAATTTTATGCTGTGTTGACCCAGCAAAGAATTCCCAAATCATGCCTTTTGCCATGTTTTATTTATTTTTGAGGTCAAATATTCTAACTTTCAATATATGTTTTCAAATTTTTTTGGAATAAAGTCTATTCACCATAATATTGAAGCCAGTGTTTTATCTTTATTTCTTATCTGGATTTTATTTACCATAATAGCATATATGCATATTTATAAAGTGTTCTATAGTTTAACCTATGTTTAACATTGAATTCAAGAAAAATCCATCTACTTTTTAATTTCTATTGATTTTTTTTACATTATCAAATATTTCTTCCCACTCTCTTACCTAGAGGACCATTCTTTGTCACAAAGAAGAAAAAAGAGGGATCAACTCTCTTTTTCAGCAGAGTCCAATATGTAATTTTCTATACCCATAGTCCTCCCCCCATCTTTAAAAGGAGGGAGGCACATTTTCTCATCTCTTTCTCAGGGCCTAGATTGGCCATTAAAATTGCATAGCATTCAGCTTCATTCCAAAAATATTTTAGATACCAATTTTGTTGATATTTCTATTCTATGTAGGCTAATCCAACTTCTGAATGTTGTTTTTTTCCTTTCTCAAAACAAATGCATCATCTTTCATTTTTATTTTTTGTGTTTTTTTTTTTGTTTTGTTTTGGCTTTTTTCCCCCTAAAGCATAACCAGATTCTTTGTTTCTAGGTTCTTTGTTCCATATTTTAAATTATTTGGAACCAAGTTCAGTTGTGAGATATTACATTCTAAAGAATATTATAAGTCAGTATGTTCTATTGCATTATAAAACATTAAATTCTTCTGAATTTCCAGAGGATGCTGTTTAATCATATTGGAGATGGTCCTTTCCCAAGAAGTGACCCTAATCTTTCAGCACCTGATAAAGGTGGGTCTAAGCCCAGCCCATGTGCTCGGGTTTTCTTTGTCTTCATTTTCAAAGTCTTTTGTGTGTCTAATGTGGGATGCCCTTGTCACTTAGTGAAATATTTTTAATAATCAAAACTGCTTTTCTCTTTTGGCAGTTTAATGAGAGACTTACATTCATGATTCTGTTCCTCACAATTTGCTTTCATGTAAGACTTGAATATGTACAGGGAGCAAGAAAGACAATCCTCAGTTAGTGGCTTTCTACTGGTGCCTTAATGGACCACAGTGGGAAATCTCTATTCCTTAGAATAACAACAACAATAAAAGGCTGCCAATTAGGTTACTTGTTTGGTGTAGAGAGAATGGTAACTTTCTAGATTGATTTCATGCCTCCATTCTTTGTCTTCATTACAAAGTGCTGTCTCCCAGCCTCATCTGTTGTTTGCAGTGACATTGGCTTAGCTCTCTGTGCAATTAAATGGTATTTAAGAATTACAATCCAGTGCATAATGGAACATGCCCTGTCTGAAAGGCACTTGAAAAAGAACTAACCACATTTTTAGTTGCAAATAGCATATTAGCATCAATCTGTTCAGCACAGCACAGAATGAAATGCAGATTAAACATGTCTTCCTCATCTATTTGGGAATAAAAATGGCCTTTCAGGAAATCACCCATTTGCCTCTTTCAGGGTCAAGCTTCAAATGTGGAAGAGGTCCACAGGCAAATGAATCAAAAGCCTTTAATGAAAATGTCCTTGCTGAAATGCATTTAATTGCCCTTCATTAAGAGCATAGCCCATACTTTCATTTGAATGTACTGGTAAATGAATATAAAACTTTTCAGTACAAGTTACAGATCCCTTAGGTCCTGACCAAGGAGAATTTAAAAGCTGAAAATGTCACTTTGATGCTTACAAATCCAATAGTGAATGCTGAAGGTTGAATTGAGAGGTGTAAGATTGTTCACTTCCACTTGCAATGTTACTTCAAACAGAACTGTGACTGGGTTTTTTTTTTTAAAGGATTTCAAGTGGGGTCCACTTAGTCATTTGTGGTACTCCTAGCCATTTGTTCATTCTAATCTTTGTACGGTATTAGCCATTAGATTTAAATCTTTGAAGTTGCCAGCAGATGGCAATGTCTGTGTAGGCAGCTTCCCATTAGATTGCTGAACTCATTTTGTTTTTGAAACCAGGCTGTATGTGTATGCATCATACATACATGTACTAAATATATGTGTATATTTATGTGTATGCATATACATGTATGAGAGAGAGAGAGAGATCTGTCAGTGGCCTTGTTTGAAAAATGCTTGCTCTAGATTTCAACATCTTTCTGGAGAGTAGAGCCCCTTCATCAGCCAAACAAAGAGCATGGGGGAAAAAGCAATACCATCCTTGCTGTCCACTAGCATCTCTGTGACCCCCTACAATTCATTTAGGAATTTTTCCGAGGACATGAGGCCTAGTCTGTCCTCCAAGAGCATATGATCCAGTTGTTTTGATCGTCTGTCGTGTCCCTTCTTTTTAAATAGCACTGCCCAACAGTTGGGATGTTAGCATTTCATTGCTTCTCCTTTAGGGTGCTATTTGCCAAGAAAGTTTCATAAGAAACCAAGTTTTAAAATAGTCTCAAGGATATGTCTGCCATCTGTTATCAAGCAACTAAACAGTATCTGATTCTCAACAAGCTTCTACCATCCTGCCTAGAGTTAAATAGTTTTATTTGACAGCTAGACTGAAATGAAGAGAAATACTATCACCAGATTAAATGTCAAATGCAACTGTAAGTAGCCCATGAAATAATGGCTTGTTATCGAGAAGGTTTCTTATTGGGTTTTTTTTTTAATTTTCCTGCTTTAATTTTTATTTTGGGTAATTCTAACTTTCTCCTGGTATTAAAGACTTATTAACTCACAAAAAAGAGCTGGAACCATGTGTATTTCAGCTTTCTTATTCCCTTCCAGCTGTGAATCCCACCCCTAGCAGCTGGAGCCTGGACAGTGGGAAAGAAGCCAAGAACATATTGGATAGTGGGAAACTTTTATCTCCCCCTGTCCCTCCAAGACCCACACAGACTGGTGGGTATTTGAGCCATCACTTATGTAAAATAATTTTTACTAATCACTCCATCCTATCCTGAATTACTCAGAGAAAGGTAGATGTTCATTTTCTGAGAATGAAAAACTGAGCAGGGCACTTGTTTTCTAATGCTCCCCCTTCTACTCTGAGCTGCTATCCTTCTCTAAGTATTGAAGAAAATCGATACTGGAACAAGCCAGTGAACCTTTCAGTCCAGCAGCATTCTGCTTCTGACTCAGATGTTGGTAGGAAAGTGACACCCTCCATAATATCATCTTCAGAGGTTTAGAGATGTTACCTAACCTTGCTAACTCATCTTCTTTATCTCATTATCCAACTGGTTCTTGTCAAATTTGATGCTAATTCAGTTAATTTTTTTTTCTAATCTTATTCTGACGTGAAACCAAGTCAGTCATTACAAAATAGAAATTCAGCAGTTATTGGTCGACTACAAAGAGTGTCTTGCACATAGCAGGATTGATAGTTAAAACAATAATCATGTATTTGTTGATTAGTGTTGATTAGAGAGTCTTTCTGTCAGAGGTTTTATGAAACTTCCTTTTGTTTGTTCCATGAAAACTAGGTTTGTACTTTGTTAGTTTTGTGAAACGATCCCCCATGACATTTGTTAAATTCTAGAATCTTTTTTTTTTAAGGAAACGAAGATGATTTCATAGCCTCTTTCTTTTTTTCCCCCATACAAGTAGTCTGCTCTGAATTTATGTTCTATATCTGTCAAGTCAGAAAGACTCCTAAAAAATCTATAACTGGTTCTTTAAAATGACTCTTATATGATTTAACAGCTAGACTAACAGCTTGTGTTTCTGATGCAGCAATCTATTGCCCCACTTCAGGCTAAGGCATAGGAAGGCCAATTTGAAAGCACAGCTGTAAGGATGAATTTTTAGAGTCTCCTGAGAACTTGATTTTTCAAATAGGACATACCTTAACTTCAGACATGACCCTCATAGGGTAGGAGGCAAGGGAGAAGACTGGGGACTGAAGACTAAGCCCTCCTCCCCAAATCTCTGACTTCTAATGATTTTATTTATAAATGACCCACGTTCATTTTCTGAGAATCAAAAACTGAGCAGGTCAGTGGTTTTCTAACATTCCTCCTTCTATTTTGAGTTCTGATTGCAAGTCAGGGAACACCTATACATAGGTATACATATACACATATTTACATGCATGCAAATATATTGTCATCCATTCAAACATATGACTATTGGTGGAATTATTTCTTTTGGTAGGACTGAAGAAATCACAATAATATTGCTACTGAAATGAGATTTAAAGTCTCATTTCAGTAAGCACATTGATATGTGTTTATGGTGTCTCCCAATAATTTGGATTATCTCACGCAATCCCAGTGGTGACATTTGTTTGGCTTGCATGTTGGCCAATGGACAACTCAGAACAAACCAGGGTCTTCACAAGCTGCTTGTGTACAATTAGCCTAAGTACAGACCTGACCTAATGATATGAGTCAAGAGATCTACATTTCCTTCTGCATGGATTGCCTATCCAATCTGTTGTGAAGTTTCCATTTGTGTTTGCTATTGTGGTGATCTATAGCTGTCTGCATTTCTTCCTTTCATCGACTGAATAGTTTGATGTCACCGAACAGAGTATGCTTAAAGCAATGTGCAACAAATACTTGGATATGGGAGGATTTGACAAGCATTCTGTTTGTAGGCTAACCAGGTTATATCAGACTATGACTGTCTGTCCACAATTAAATGTTACAAGTTGTGGCTTGATCCATAGCTAAAAAGATCTCTGGGATAAAGAGTCAACCTTTAATATGGTTTTATTGTAAATGCATTTGTGAGCATTAAAGAGAGGTCTGTCTTGCTGTGCCAGAAAGCTTAAAGTATAAATTTGGTTTCAACCCTGATCACAGACTGCTGCCTATGCACTACACACACACACACAATGTACTTTTTTAAAAGTGGAAGGAAGCAGTGTGAGCACAAATTCTGGTTTTGAATATTTTAGCATCAAAGGAGAATCAAGTTAGTAGAGAGGCTAGTCCAAGCATCACGGTTTCCTACCAAGTTTCTGGTATTGACAGAATACTGTCTCTTCACGTCTGAACATCTAATAGGATGATGTGCAGTCCTGGGTGTAAATGTGAGAGAACGCAAACAAGATATATTCATCTGTCTTGTATTTACATAGTCACAGGAGTATTCAGAAGGTGAGGGAATTGTCATACTGAAGCAAAGGGACTGCTGATTATTCTGCTATAAGCTGCTACATTTCTGGACTGTGGCTCTCCTTTAGCTACCCAGGCTACAGGCAGCACTCTGGGGTGTATAAGTGACTGTCCTTCCATCAATGAAACACCAGGCTCTAAGGACATCTAGCTCTTGGCATGGACCCTCATGAGTGCAGTGATTTTTTTGTTGGTAATTTGTTAGTGATAGTTCTGTAGCCTTGAAGTTTTATATATGTTCACATTTAGGGTCTATTCTAAGCCGGTGCTGGTGGTGGCTTAACATATTAACCTTGGGTATAAGAAGACGGGAGGGGATTTTTTTTTTGGCTCCTCAAAAATGGAGAGGCTGCTTGGAATGAATCGTCTAGCTTCTTTGAAATGAAACGAAATCTTTCTGTTTACAGCTTCACCAGCAAGACATGGGACATCAGTTTCTCCCTCTCCTGCTGGGCGATCTCCGATGAAGGTACAGGAACCTGATGTATTTCTCAGGGGAGACAAAGCTTCACACCTCTACTTTCCCTCAATCTCATGACTCTTACATGTACACTGGAATGTTCATCCCCAAGCAAATAACTTAGTTCAGCAAACTTGTGTTAAGTGCCTTACGCAAAAATAAAAGCACTGTATTAAGTGTTAGAGATACAAAGATGAAAAATGACAGTTCCTGCCCTCCAGGAGGTTACTATTCAGTAGGAGAGAGAAGGCAAGGCAGAATACTCATGATTACATGCATCAAGATGGGAAGAAGGGATTGAGAGGGGGAGGATACTCTAGGACATTGGAAAGTTTCCCATGGAAAGGGGGGAAATGGTATCTTCCCTGTTGGTTGCTTACTTCCTGAAAGCTGCACAAGACACAAATTCCAATCACAGACATCACTTTCCCAAAACAGTGACAGACTGTTTCACACAGGGGGAAAAAAAAAAGTATTGTTATAATAGGCATTGAATCATGAGAAACACATATGTCAGAAGACCAACACTTAAGTTAAATGCAAGGGAAGTCAAAAATCCCCAAACATTTTCAGCAAGCTTTAGGTCCAACCTGACTGAAAAAAAAAAACCAAAAAAACAAAACACGAATTAGAAATCAGGTGGCTGTTCTTCAAATCCCACTGGGTCCTTTTCTCCTAAGGGAGTGGCATGCTATGGTGTCTGTTTACTTTTTGTTATGCATCACCCTCATCCATCTTGATGCAGGCTATGTTTTCTTTGACATCATTTGAAACAGCCTGCTGGCATGTGAATTAGAAATGCATATTTACGATTGAAGGAGAGGGGAGCCCAAGTGCCTCTACCCTTCCAAAAACAGGGAGGGACAAATTGGAAAACTTTCAAAGAGATAAGTTTGGATTGGGATGAAGACAAGCTATTTAAAATTTCAGTACATAAAACATCCACTCTGGAAACCAAGAACTGCATTTAGTCTCTTAAATTGAATCAGACAGTGTACTCAGATTATCAATATAATCACTTAGTGATATAATATATGAATTTTAGCATAATCACCTTTTTTTTTAGAAGCTATTGCAATAGAGGTGAGTATGAGGTTGAAGTGAGAATTTCAAGAATTTTTGAACTTGAGTATATGAGAACACACAGGTTTCATGTCCATTGTGCTGATGAGGTGTTTCAAAGGTAATGGGAAAGAGAGACAACTTAGCCTCTCCAAACAATTGTGGCAGGTCAAGGAGACCTCGAGTCATCTGCATTTTTAATAATGCCTGATTGTACGAGGTAAGGGCCCTCAAAGCAAAACTGGAGGAAATCACAGAGAAACGTGATTTCATTCCTGCTGCCAGGCTTTCTACTTTGGCAATTTGCTGGTGAGTTAAATGATCTTGTTATTTTAATTCTGAAGGGGTATGTGTAGAATCTGAATGACTTTGAGAGCTAGAAGGTCCACAGGTGTTATTTAATGATGAGGTATATGTGTGTGTATGTGTATGTAGATGTATACACACATACGTATACATCTATACATATGTATAATGGCAGAGTAGAATTTTTTTTTATATTTTTACATCTAGAGTAAAATTTCATAACATAGCCCACATTGAGGAAAGAGGGAGTATCATCTTTATGTTTTTATGTTTGCCTTATTACTTATTAGCAGAGCTATGACATGTTGACCCAGGACTTTATGCAGACTTGATGCAATAGTCATCATTTATGAGGCAGCATGGTATAATGGGTAGAGTGCTGGACTTAAGTCGGGAAGCCCTGAATTTTAATCCTGCCTCAGATACTTCCTAGCTGTGTGGCCCTGGGGGTGTCACTTAACCTTTGTTTACTCAACTGTAAAAATGGAGATAGTAATAGCACCTACCTCACAGCGTTGTCATGAGGATCAAATGAGTTAGCATATGCAAACTTTAAAGCCCTATATAAATATTATTATGTCCTAGTTTCAAGTCCTTTTTTTGACATCTAGCTAGGTGGCCACAGGCAGATAACACGCATGATGCCTACCTGAACCAGTTATTGTGAGATGTACATTAAGTGCTTCTCAAATTTTAAATAACTATGTCAATGTCAGTTATTTTTATCATCATTCTTATTGATGTAAAATATGCCCATTGTCTCATTTGAATCCTGTGAGACGAGTAATTAATTATTATTATCCCCATTTTATAGATGAGGAAACTTAAGGCCCCAGGTTAAAGAACTTGCCCAATGTCATACCAGCTATTAAATGACCAATTTTCAAACCAATCTCTTATGATTCTAAGGCTGACACTCTAGCTCTGATGCCATGCTGTTGCTCATAAGACATATTTTGTGGTGGTTTTCTTTTTTTTTTTTAGGCATTTGGGGGTAAGTGACTTGCCCAGGGTCACATAGCTAGTGTCAAGTGTTTGGTCTGAGGCCAGATTTGAACTCAGGTCCTCCTGACTTGAGGGCCAGTGCTCTATCCACTGTGCCACCTAGCTGCCTCTCATTAGAAATTCTTTGGACAAATACTTACAAATAAAACAAATAAAATTATAGGTTACCTAACCTATAGTAACACTGGACAATACCTCTGAAATAGCCAAAAATATCTGACCTGAATGTATTTTTACTGATCACAGGCATGTTGATATATGTTAGGCCCTTGTTATTTAAATAGGGAGAAAATGATGTGAAGAACAGATCTGAAATCTATATAAAAGTGTCACTAGATATCACATGTGTTGTCCCTCCAGAATTACATTAGAGGGCACACTAATACCAAGTTAAAACAATCTGAGACTAAGAGCCAAATCCTAATCACTAGCATTAGTTACCCCACCATGAATTTAGGGTACATTTTGGTGACAAAGAGGTCATGAATTTGTGTCTTTTAAAGAGATGGCCTTACTTCATATGTATAATGGGTATCATATTTCCTACCTTCTCACTGGGTAGGGAAGGGGGTGGGAGAAGTTGAGAGAATTTGGAACTGGGGGAAAAAAAAAAAAAAGAAATGGCCTTAATTATATATAGACTACCTAGAATTGTAGTTTGGGGACCAGGCAGAATTGTTTTCTTTTAAAAAATAAGATTTTTGAAGGTGCTTTTCAGAGATAACAATCTAAAGTGAAAGCAAAAGAAAATAGGTCGTCTTATGTCAGTAGCTTTGAAAGTAGATTCTTTCCTACCTTCTGGAACCTTATTTAAAAGTAGGGTTGTGGTTTTTTTTTTCTAAACTCTGTGTCAGTCATGTGCTCATAGAAATTCTGCACCCTTGCCTCCATGTCTGAAGATCCTAGTTCCTGCTTCTAGGCCCTCTAAGGGGTTTCAGTATCATCCTATTGTTTCTCACCTTTTAATTCTTTGGTCTCTTTTCATATCTGTCCAGATTACCAACTGTCACTGGTCATTTCTGTCTCCCTCTTTAGCCTTCCTAATGATGGTAAAGGTTAATAAGGCTAATTATGTGGGTGATGGGATGGGCTGGGAAGCATTTCATGTTTATTCTGAATGACAAAAACCCAGTTTAGATTTAGATAAGTTTAGATAAGGCGTGGGCTCTGTCTTCCTGGACTTAATATTATTAATCAACACATTTATTAAGTGCCTTCTATATGCTAGGCACTGTACTAAGCATTTGGGATATAAGTGCAAATCAGAAAACAATCCCTAATCACGTGGAATTTACATTCTAGTGAGAGAGCCTGTAAATATATGCAAGTGTATACAAAATAGTAAAATATAAGGTAGTTTGGAGGGCATTAGCAGTTGAAAGGGATAAGAAAAGGCTTCATGCAGAGAATTATAGTGGAACTGCAAATAAAGAGAAAGACTGTGTGTGTGAGACCAAGGCAAGGAGGAAGTTGTATTCCAAGCACGGAGCATGGCCAAGGGTACAATGGTACAGAGACAAAATTTGGGGCACTATGTGTGAGGTACATAAAAAGGCCAATCTAGGTGGCGCAGTGGATAGAGCACCGTCCCTGGATTCAGGAGGACCAGAGTTCAAACCTGGCCTCAGACACATAATACTTACTAGCTGTGTGACCCTGGGCAAATCACAACACCATTGTCTAGCCCCCCCAGAAAAGGCCAATCTGGCTGGATTGCAGAGTGTGTGGAAGAGGGGTAATATTAATCCAATGAAGCTGAAAAGATAGAAGGGGTTAAGATATAAGTACATAAAAAGGAGCAAAGCACAATGTTATATATGATTTGCCAGGGAAGGTTCTTACCACCCAGGAGTCAGGCAAAGCTTTGTGAAGGAGGTGGCTTTTGAGTTGAGTAGCATGGCATAATAGAAAGTACATTGGCTCTGATGTGAGCAGACCCGAGTTCAAATCCTGCCTCTGATGCTTACTACCTCTGTGTCAGTTTCTTCATCTATAAAATGAATTGGTTGTGCTCAATGGTTTCTGAGTTCCCCTCCAGTTCAAGAGCTTGATTCCTAGGGAATTCACCAGGCAAAGGTGGATTAAAGAAGATATTCCAGGCAATCCACTATTGATTTGATATAAGCTCTCACTGTCGCTCTGCTCTCATCTTTCTGCTCTATTTTCTTTGGTTTCTCAATTCTTTTGTCTCTTTCCATTTTCACGTTGCTTTTGAACAGGGTTCCATGCAATCATTTACCCCATCTCCAGTGGAGTATCACTCTTCAGGATTGATATCCAACTCGCCGGTCTTGTCAGGAAGTTATAGCAGTGGGATCTCGTCTTTGAGCCGGTGTAGCACCTCTGAAACTTCAGGCTTTGAAAATCCAGCGAATGAACAGACAGGCAGCATGTCGACCTACAGTGTGCCTGAAGAGCCAGTGAGGAAGGAAAGTAAAACACCGCCTCCTTACAGCGTTTATGAACGGACTTTGAGGCGCCCTGCTCCGCTACCTCACAGCCTTTCCATCCCCGTTACTTTGGAGCCTCCCGCCTTGCCACCCAAACCTCTGTTGGCCCGATCAACCAACCTAGAGAATGGCAGCAGGAGGACCGAACAAGTCCCTCGGCCCAGACCCCTTCCTCGGAAGGTCTCTCAATTATAAGTCACTTTTCTATTCCCTCGAAACAAATTCTTTACCATTTACAAAGTAATAAAAGTATGGTGAGAAGAAATTTAGTGTAGGCACTTTAATATTTTACCCAGATTTTTTCTTCAAATAAATGAAATAAAACTTGCTTATTAATATTATGTTGCACAATATTAAATAAAATTACTGATCTAGGCCAGATATTACAGGAAGTGTGGATGAGAGAATTGCATTAAAACATTCTAATTTGAAAGTGGTAAATAGTGATATAGACTTTTTTGTATCTTTTTATGTTTACTTTTTTACATAGTCTAATCTAAAATCAACACAATGCTGTCATTTGTGTTAAAGTTGTATACTTTTTACTGAATACTTGATACTACAAGAAAGCTTATTTAAATCAGTGCACATTCTAACACAATTGTCCTTATTCTAGAAGACTTCCGTAAATAGGGCTGAGGTTTTTACAAGCAGAATGAAAATCGTACATCATTGGAAATCAGGTTGAAGGCCAGTTACTTAAAGTATATATTGAAGGGGTTGCAAGCATCAAGTTTGAGGAGTACCTTTGTTCTGGAGACAAAACACTCCTTTCAGACTGCTTTTGAAGTTTGACAGCTGTCTACATATGTAAAATTATACTTTGAGAATTCATTGATATCAATTCTTCAGTGTTCTTGTCTCCACTGTATCTCTTTCTTTTTAAGGTGCAATTCACTTTCAGTATTCCAACAGCTACCCTAAGCAAAAGGCTCTGTAGAAATGTTTACTTGGATTTTGTACCTGCTGAGTTCAGAAGGTTCTTACATAAAATTGGTCATTGCAGAGGAACAAATGTTCCCGTATTAAATAGGCACAAATGAATGTGTCCCATTAACAAGGATACAGGAATTAATGCTGGACAGTATTAAATCAATACGTGTAAGTGAAGGGGTAAAAAAAAACAACCCTTCAAGATTATAGATTAGTACAACTACATGGCATCAGAACTTGTAAAAGGCAGAGGCATTATTGCCTCTCAGTTCTTCACAAAACAAGAAAGTTCCTTCCAGGCTCTACTTTCTTAACAGTGGAGTTTCTCTCACTTAACTGATGATCCCTTTTGTCCTATGGTTGGAGAGGATACCTGTAGTCCAATCCAGTTTGAATTTCCCAACATAGCATCTGTAGATCTAGCTAGTAATGCTAATGCCCCAGTTGTAGGAGTGTGGAAAAAGCACCTTGTATGTAGTATGTATTTTGTATCTTTGTTTTTTCTTTAACTGTTTATAACACTCACTTGATAATAGATGTATGAACTGTATTTAAAAATCATACTGTTAAAATATTTTCCCTCTTTTGTTGGGAAGCTCATGTTGGTTTAACTGTGTTTGCTTTTGTCGATAGTTTAAACTGGAAGGTGGTGACCACTTTTTTATATTCTCTCAATGAAACCATCCAGCAGGTATACGCTGTTGAGGCTGGTTATAGAGGTTTTCTATAATAAATGTTCAAGTATTTTTGTACATAACTGGTTAATTTTAATAAGAGATACCATTATGTGTAAAAAAAAAATAAAAGCAAACAGTTGTGTATGCAGTATGATTGTTATAATTATGCCAAATACTTTATGTATGAAAAAGAATATTTGTACATATGTGCTTTTAACAATAATTCTGCCATATTGACTTTACAATTTTGAATGTCAGAAAAAAATTAATATATGTTAAAATATTTATGTTTAGTGAAAGTATTCATAATTGAGAAAAGAAACATATGAATTTGAGCTTTGTATCTTGCAAGTTTTTGCAGTCTGATATTTCTTGAACTTGCTTTTGATTATAACATTTTGTGTTTATAATCACATCCTAAATGATGTGGGAGGTTCCCTATTTCTGTTGGTATAAAGAGGTAAAGCCGCCCATTTAAACAAGGTGTCCCTAGTAAGATAACAAAGCCTCTCTGATTTCTTTTCCCTCTGTAGTTTAATAGATTTGTTGACTAGTGCTTGAGCACAGTATGAATCAGTGTTATTTGCTCTTGAAGCCACTTTTTTTTATTTCTGGCAGTGAACAGAGTTGTTGAATTTATCATGTGCGTGTATTACTGAAGTCAGCTTTTGCAGCAGATTATTTCATGAGATTCTGTTTACCCAGATGTTCATGTTGGTTGCTGCAGAATGGTAAATATGAAATAAAATTACTTGATTAATCTTAACATTTTCATATTTTGTGTGTGTTTTTGTCTAGAGGAGTAGCTTTGTAAATCTATCTCCCAGAGAGAAAATTTCTGACGCATCTCTTGAGATGACTTTCTTCTCATGGGAAACAATCCTTCTCATTGTACTGCATTTTAAGCTACACAATTCATGTTTGTGGTTCAAGGAGGAAAGATGGAGATGGTACCAGGTTCAGCTTCCAATTGGTAGAGAAGTAGGTTAAATTTACCTCTTTAGCTGACCATTCGTTAGCCTAACTGGGTCCCTGTTTTACCCTTCAAAACACCAAAAAATGAAGGACTCAACATGAAAATGACAGCCAGCTGCAATGTAAAGCTTTCGATGCACCTTCCCTTTGCCAGCTTCGACATACTGTGTCTGGGAGCCAGCTGTTTTTAGTGAATTTCATAAAAGTGTACTAGGAAATATATTAGGCCAAAAAGACTATGTTTGCTTTGTGAGCTGTTCATATGCCATGGATAAGTTTTTTACCTTGAAGTCAATGCTATCAGACTCTTGTTGCATAACTTTACGACAATACATACTTATAGACCATCATCAAAAGTTTATAATTATTTCTCAACACAGCTCTGTGGCCTTAGTCACCATCCTTGTGATGTTATGGACCAAAGTGCCACTCCCTCCTCACCACTCCCCTGTATTGTTTCCTTATTAGAATGTAAGCTCTTGGAGATCAGGGACTGTCTTTACATCCAAGGTGAGTAGTGTCTAGTAAGCAGTTAATAAATGCTTTTTCATTCATTGATTCATTCATTCAATGTTACCAAGAGATGGTGGTTTGAGACACTTTTCTTTATAACTGAGGTCATAATTATGGCACAAGTAGCTCAGGGTGCTAAGTGACAGTTTGTCTTAATACTGTCATAAGAGGAGGAAAGGTAGGAAAGAAAGGAGGGAGGGAGGGAGGAAGGAAATAAGATACCCAGTTTTATTTAATTGATCCATACTACTTCACACATTAAAAATGTGGTTTAGAACCTTTATCAAAATAAAGGTTTAATTATCGTAAGCCTTGTTCAAAATTTGAGGGTAAATTTTCCTGAGTCAGTTAAGTGTTTTATAGCTGTTTGTGCTGAACAAAGTAATGTTCCTTTTTATGGAAGCCTTTGAAGTACTCATAAAGACAAAACAGTAATAAACATTCATGTTAAGAATGTTACCATCACAGGGAGGAGGAAAGAGAGGGAGGGATAAAATCTGGAACTCAAAACTTTTTTTAAAAAATTATTTGAATATGTAATTGGGGTAAAAATAAAATATATTTTAAAAAAAAAGAATGTTACCCATTGAAAGATCCAGAAAGCCTTTTAGCTATTACTGTTAAGCTGGGTAGGCTGTACCTTTGTCTTTCAAGAGCTTACTTTCTAAATATGTGATGGATTTGCAATTCCTTAGCATAATGGTATTCCTTCCACCAATCCTGTTACTTAGCAGATAAATCCTAGAGATTTGCCTGAGGTAAACAGAGTTTAAGTGATCTGCCCAGTCATACCTTCCTAGGCAGGATCTGAGCTCAGGTCTTCTTGACTCAGCCCAGTATAGCATGCATTTAGTGAGGTTACCACTATATTCTCTGAATTCAACTAGAGGATAGAAGAACATGACTGATCCCTCAAATGTACTGTTAACTATATATTATGTGACATATTTTTAAGAGCGTGACAACTGGAAACCTCTAATATTCTTATTACATAAAACACTTCACTAATCCAGAGGTCACTTATCTATATATGGTGGTATGTCAGAGCCAACTCATACCAGATCAGAACACCAACTTTTAAGTTTTTAGTGTGAGCATTTTCATCTCAGAGATCAGCCAACACTTAATTGTTTTGTTGATTGTCCAGACTTCAGAAAGTTATAGAGAAAATGTTAATTATGCAAATTAAACTTAAAGGTATCATCTGTACATTTTTTTTGAAGGGGGGGAAGAGTAGGTTGTTAAACATTTACTAGTACACTACTACTTATCCACCTATCTCAACTCTCCCAAGAACCTAAAAGTAAGAAGGAAAGGTCTATAAACAACCAAACTAGATGCCATATACTCCATACACTAAAGCTGATGCACTTAATTCATAGAAGAGGCCTTCACTCAGAGCCTTTTTTTTTTTTTAAAGACACAATTCAAGCAAGAATGCTTAGCTGGTTTTCCAATTCATGGGTCATTGTAATTTCTTTGAGAGTAGGGGTTGGAGCAGTTTTCATATTGCTATCCCTAAATTTGTCTATCTGCAAGGCCTACCCTGTATTCCCAGACCTGTCCTTTGGGCCAAACAGAAAAAAGGTATAATTAATATTCCATATAATAGCCTTTCATACACTTGAAGACAACATGTTCCCTCTTGGTCATTTCTTCTCTAGGTTAAACAACCTGAATTCCTTCCACCAGACTTCATATAGCATTGACTTGAGGCCTTTCACCATCCTGGTTGTATTTCTCTGGATGCTGAAATGTGATGCCCAAAACCCAAATACTTTACTCCAGATATTATCTAAGTAAATGGAACTATCCCCTTCTTGTTCCGGGATAGTATAGTTCTCTTAAATTCAGTGCATTAGTCAAAAAATTAGCTTTTTTGGCTGACATATCACATTATTAATTCATGTTGAATGTGCAGTCCACTAAAATCTACAAATTTTTTTCAGACAAACTGTTGTCTAACCATGCCTCTCCCATATTGTATTTGTGAAGTTGATTCTTTGGACCCAAGTGTAACATTTTGCATTTATCTCTATTAAAATTTAGTCTTTTTGAATTTGGCTCACTGTTCCAATCTGTTGAATTTTTTGGATACTGACTGCCATCCACGGTGTTAACTATCACATTCGTTTTGACAGTATGCAATTTTGAAACACATTCCATCTACACCTTCATCCAAATAGTTGATAAAAATGTCAAATGGCACAGGGTCAAGCATAGCTAGGGTACCTCCCATCAAGTTGACAAAAATCACTGATGACCACTCTCTTAGTCCAACCTTCTAACCAATTCCAAATCTTTCTAAATATGTCAACTAACCTCCATTTCTCTATCTCCCCAATAAGAATAGCATGATAAACTGTAAAATTCTTTACTAAAATCTAGGTAAGCTATATTTCACATAGAAGCAAAAAGACTTTCTGGCCTGAGGAACCTCTAAGTGCACTACTGTTATAGCATTGTATAGTAACTGATATTTATTAAAATAATCCTTTCATCTCCAAAAAAGTTAACTTATGTTCAACATATATTGTTTTAGAAAGCAAGAATAAATGTGGCACATTTTAGAAAGATTTCCATTATAAGTTATTAAAATAAAAGTAATTTGGTACTCAAAGGAATAAACATCAATTATCTTTCAGATCAATGAGACATTATTCTAATGTAATTGAAGGGCAAAGTATTCTGGCTCATCACAATGGGGACAAAAAAGCATCAGAACACTTTTTTAAAAAAGTTTATTTTCTTAGAAACATTAATACTTGAATTGAACTGTTGATTCTTATGTAGCACCTCTCCTGGGTCAGTCTCCCAACCCAATGGTGGCTTGAGTCCCCAGAGGAAAATTAGTTCTCCTTTCAAGACTCTAGGGTACACCCTGAAAGGTTTGGGTTATATTGTATAGTGAGTCCCTGTCTGACATTGATTACCAGCCAGAATTAATTAAGCTTTATACAAAGGATGTTTATTGTTATAGTATAATGTTAATAGAAAACTAATTTCTTCAAAAGTGTGAAACATGCTCTCCTATTGGACACACAATGTCTCTGGGGAGAATAGGCTCAAACTTAGAAAATTCATTTGGTGAAAGGTTAATCCTATAGCTCTGGATTATTGGAAGTCCTTTTCTCCTTTCATGGAATACTCAAAGTTCTGAAATTTAGCTCTCTACTGGACTCCAAGGGTCAGTGCCTTTACAAGAGTCTATAGCTTCATTTCTCTCTGCCTTTCATCAGTGTGTCTAGTTTGTCCTTTTTCAGTTTGTAGATGGATGCATTGTTTTACTAGTCCAGTCTCAATGTGATATGATCAGTGGAGGAGGAGTGAGGGAAAGAAAAGAATTTGACATGTCCTCCAGGCCTATTCTTTCCTCTCCCCTCCCGGTTTGTCATTCAGGTCTATCTCCTCAAAGCACACCCAAACCTTAATTTATTATTGTTGCTGTTTTGCTCAAATCCCATCTATGAGATAGAGAGAAATTTTTCTAATTGTCTAATTTTGTCTATTGTCTAATCTTCCCAGTCAACCTCAATACATTTAATCATCTGATTTTACCCAATAGCTCAAAGTGCTTCAACCATGCCAAATCAATCATAGATTTGCTCAAAAGAACATAGTTTACAACTTTAGTTGATTGATCCAATGAAAGTATCTTGGAATGATCAGAGACACCTACTTCATACCTTTTATGCTGTAACTTAATTGAAGAAGTATTTTTCATCTAATAAAGGTATCAGAGCTAGATTATCTTCTTAATTACATTAATGTGGGTTGAGGGGTGATGGAACAAATTTGCTCAGAATTTATCAATAGGATTTATTGAGTGAGCACTGAATATTACTAGAATCCAAGTCAGGAGACTGGATAGAGTTCTAGCTGTTTTTTGATATTAACTAGAGATCCATTTATTGTCTCTATACCTCAATTTCCCAAGCTGTAAATTAGTTGTTCTGCCTGCCATGTCTACCTTCCAGGTCTGTAGTGAGGATCAAATGAAATAACAGATGTGAACAAACCTGGGAGAAGACAAGCTACAAGAGAAGATGGGACAAACAAATGAAAAAAAAAATGAGAGGACATAAAGAGATATCCATATCATAACTATACAACTGTACATAAAAATACTGAAGACTGCTAAAAAAGCATATGGAATAATATATTTTCAAACAGCTATAGCTTAATTCTTAAAAAAAAACAACTTTGTGATAACCAGGAGAATTTTCTAAGAGCATTAGCCTGAAATTATATTTTGAAATCAATATTTTGAGCAACACA